ATCCTGGGCAAAGTTTTTCTGGGAGCATTGCCATACTCTGCTCAACACTTTTTACTGTCCAAGATGCTCTGAACAATTTTCTCCAATGCTACAATTCAACAGCATCAATGTTTTTTTTCATTCAACTTTTCTAATTGTTCAGTTTCACTGCGATACATTTCAACTGGGAAAAGCCTGGCCTTGACAATACATAACTTTGTTGTTAATGTGATGTCTTGACACTTATTTTGTTTAGATCTGTCATCATTTTTCCCCAAAGTAGTAGATGTCTCTATTTCATGGCTACAGAAATTTGTACTATTCCTTCAGATTTTTGAGCTTAGGAAAATAAAGCCTGCTACTGCTGCAGCATCTTCTCCACCTATTTGCATTGGGTTGGCATTCCCTTTGACATCATCTTACTTTTTAATATTGAACAGAAGACTGACTTTGTCCTTTCTTTTTTCATTTTCAACCAGATGTTCCTTAGATCTTCCTCACTTCCAGCCATGAAAGTTATCATCAGCATATCTGAGGTTTTGTTGATGTTTCTTCCAAAAAGTTTAATTCCACTTTCTATTTCTTTCAGTCCAGCATTTCTTGTGATATATTCTGCATATACCGCAGATTAAATAAAGTGACAGTATAAGCTCTTGATGTATTCGTTTCCCAATTTTCAACCACTTAGTTGTGTCATATTTCCAACAATTTGTTGTGCTGTTTACAATAAAAAAAGCTGTGAAAATCAATAAAGCAAAAACAGATGTCTTTTTCGAGCACTTTGCTTTTGCCATTAACTACTAGAGATTAGCAGTGTGATCTGAGATGCTTTTGCCTTTTCTGAATCCAGCTTCTATGCACCACAGTTCCTGTCCCATATATTGTTGAAATCTGGATCGCTAATCTTGAGGAGTATCATTCTAGCATGAGTGCAAATATTCAGCAGTTTGAGCATTTTTAGCTATGGGAGGGGGTGGAGGGTTGGCACTGGAATATAAATTGATATTTTTCAGTCCTTTAGCCATGTTTTCCCCAACTGCTTACAAACTGCATGTATTTATTTGACAGAAACTCCTCCAAGCTGATCAATCCTGGGCAGTGCGCATGAGTAAACCAAGGCTGAATCTATCTCTTTTTAAAAAAACATTATCATGAAACTTTATTATAAATATACTTTCCACTCTTCAAGTTGATAGCAAAAAATAGTAAATATGTGTACAATTCCACCTATTACACTCATCCGTCTTGTTTGTCAATTTTCTTTGAACATTATCATAGTTTATCAGACTTCACCAAGAGTTTTCACCATTTTCTTCCATCTCCATCTTCCCATCTTCATAAAACCTAAAACCTTTAGTTAAGTTATCTTTCCAATTTAGTTATTCCATACAGAAACCAAAGAAGTTGGTCATGACAGAAGGAGAATATATGTTTGGCATCATTTAAAAGCAAAACACAGCATCTACACTCACATTTAAAAAGAGCAGATGCCATTTAAATGTTATTTTTTAAAAAGCAATTAAGAGCTGCTAACAAAGATATGTGCCTTAACAGGCAATGAGATCTAAACCCTGGAAATACTAATGCAGTGATGACTACATTCAGAGAGACAACTCTTAGTACCACCAAACAAAAGACATTAATAGTTTTTCCCTATTCTCCACCTTAATGTATTTTCTATAATAAGAAGAAAAAGGGAAGAATGGATGGGAAAAAATGGGAAAAATTAAAAAGGGAAGATTAGGGTTTCTGGATTCTCCATCAGATTCCATGAATAAGACAGGGATTGTTCAACAAAAACATAGTTGCTCTGGAAGCATCTTGTATTCAAGACCTACATTAAATTCCCTTAAAGCTGTGTATTACCATGGTCAAGTAAGGAAATTACCAGGCCATGATTTCTAGAAAGAGTTACAAAATTGCTATTGTTGTATCAACAACTGAAGAAAAAAGAAAAATGGTGCTCTATTGCTACCTGAAAATACATATATGGGCCCAGATCCAAGAGTATTGCCAGCTTACAAATCTCCTTTAATAGGGAGGATGAAGCCATCCAAACCAGGCATGCCAGCAAACCACCCACGTATTTATTTGTTCAGTCCATTGAAAGTTCTCCCTTTCTTCTATTATGTGTCTTCTATTACATACTTCATGGTGTTTCAAAGTAATCTTTCAACCCTCTACTAATTAAACATGCCTAACTTTTGCAAAGTGTGCTCTCAAACTATGCTGGTATATCAGCACTTTCTTCTTATTGAGTTGCAATGATTTTGACTTTAGGTCCTAAACACAACAAATTTCTGTTGTTCTCTCCCTGTTGACATTTCCTCAGCAGCAATGCCCTTTTTAATTCATCAAATGCTTGCTCATCAGGAATATCCCCTGCACTGAAGATATGTTAACTACTAGGAAGGCTTCATTACTGCAAGAGAAATCATGCATCCTTATGTAAAGAATGATATCTCATTAAATCACAGGATTATTTCTGGAGGTCAATGGTAGTTGTACTTCCAGGATATCCTGAAGACACCAGGTTAGAGAAGGTGATATAAAACCCTTTGAACAAATGCAAGATCCTCCATCATATGCAAATTATAATGTGGCCCTAAAATCATTATCACTCCTATCATCATAAATACATTCTTCACATCTTTGAGGAAGTATATAACTCCAGAGAACTAGGATCCTATCAGTAGAAGTTGGTGAGAAGTGGAAAACTGTATCAGAATGAATCTCCATATTTAACAGATTTCATCATATTAAAATTGACCATTAACCACAGTACACTTACCATTGTCTTTGTTGGCTATGATGGCAAATTCTTGGACCTCCTCCAAGTCAGTGACCCCTATGTGCTCACAGATTTCTTTTAACACATCTGCTGTAACCTACAATCAGAAAAAAAAATAGTTTATTTAAGCATGTGCAAATTGCTTTGTCTGGCCAAATGTAGTCTACCAAATGCAGTCTGGAAGGAAGAAGGAGGCCTTGAACTCATTTTAAAAATCAGAGTGCCTTGCAAAAGGAGTCAGGAGCAGTTGCTGGTAAGCACGAAACTGCGCTCGCCCGAAAAGGGCGCAAAGCAACGGAAACTCCACCTCCTGCACTCGCCAGCTGGGCTCTGCTCTAG